GCCTGCAGTGTCACACCAATCCTTTCTCCCGCCTTTCAGGAAGCAAATGCCATTGGCTTTCACAACAGAAACACCTCCATAAAATACACCATAAGCATCCAGACTGAAAATGATAAGCCAGTAGAAGGGTTTGATGATACAGACGTAGCACTTCCAGACCAGACAGAAAGAACACTCTGGACTTTGGCAACACTTAGATATCTTTTTAAGCCAGTAAAGTATTATTTAGTGGTACTTAAAATTGTGAGCCTTTCTAAAATACTTCTGTCAACAGTAACTGCTTAGATGCACCTCTGTTAATCAATCCTGAAACAGTATTTTGCTTTGACTTAAGAGTCTGTGGCTTCATCTGCATTTCAAGTTGTTCCCATTCTTATTTCATTATCTGCTCCTCAGCCATTAGGGTTTCTGGTGAACAGGGGTAGTCTGAAGCTCTGACTGCAGACACTGGCTGACTGCAGGCATTTACCAGACCATAAATGAACCAAAATTCTTACTCTGGACCATTGGTAGGCATCTTCCAAAGCAAAAAGGGATGCAAACAGATGTGGATAACAGGGGAGCTAAGCCAGCTATATCCCTTGCATCCTGAGGTGCAGGCACACGTTACAGACCCTGGTGTAACTGCACAGCCATGGACCTGCAGCCGCAGTTTCCAACTTCACAGCGTGGCTGGGCCCAGCTCTTCAGCAGCCAGACGTCCACAGTGCCTGAGCTCACCACGGGAGAGGAGGTCGCCTGCTCTGCCCTGTTACAAGGCTCAGTGTTGCCCCTAGGAGTCATAAAGCCACAGAAAAACTCACTGATGACTGCGGGTAGATACACTTCACTGCTTTGACACCGTAGAAAAGGAGCCTACAAAAAGGAGTGAGTTCCCTCAGCTCCACTCCAGCCAATAATTCTTATAAGCCAGCTACCCTCTTGTGCTGGGACTGCTCCTTTTCCTGGTAAAACAAGAATAATATTTTTAAATATACCAAAAATTAATTTGAAAATGAATTAAAGCTGTGAAACACTGACTCACCAAAGATGCAAGGGACAAGAGGGAGAAATCTAAGACTGGTGGGGTGGGAAAGGGGGTGCTCCTGACTTCTGCTGGATCAGGCTGAATTCGGACTGACAGCACACAGACCACCTGGGATCAGACCCCGCATACCTTCAGCTTTGCTTCCCTTCTCCCAAATGTTCATAAGGCAGAAGGGCAGAAAAGGAACCTGCCCCATTGTTCAGGCAGTCAGTGACATGGTGGTCTTCACAAGGGAAAATCTTGATCTCATTACCCATGCCAGGATAATACCCAAGAGCACATTTTAGGATCAGCACAAGTGGCAAAGCCACTGACAAAGTACACCATGTCAGCCACAACTACCAACAAGCAATTGCTTATGACAAAGCAAGGTGGTTCTTGGTCTATAGGACTAAAACCTAAGGCTTTCAAAACCCATTTTGGGCAGAAGCAAAACCCCAAACCCATCAACATTATGTACAAGAAGCACAGCAAGTACAAAGAAAACAGCAGCAGAAGTAGTCCTGGACCAGGCCTGTGCATCTCAACCATCTGAAACCTTTGCCTGTGTCCATGATTAGTGTTTACTAAATTCTTATGCCCTGGCACCAATAAAAGACTTCAGCACAAGCAGACTGTACAGCCACTAGGATTTTTAATGACCAATAAATTATCTGCTGCTTTGGAAAAGCCAGTTATCGTATTTAATTTGACAGCCCCATGCAGGGTGAATTCCATAGACACAAAACAAATGTCAGGCCTCGAGACTAACACACATTTCCCCAGATGCAAAATAGACGCTCACCAGTTGCTCTCTTAGGAGGATGGAAAAAGCTAATCCCTCTAAATTATGTAAACCAAACAGAGAGTGAAGGCTTAAAGCCTCAGCATTTATTTTTAAGAAGCAAAGCATAAACCACACTACTGCTTTCACGTCTGCCTTCTAATTTTTTTTTTGCCTTTGAATGATATGCATTACAACTATTTTAAGATCTGCTCCTGAGTGCCTGCAGCTGGCACAGCTGGGAGGGAATAGTAGGTGCTGATTTCTCCTCAGGACTGTCACCCTGCCCCCTGAACACTTATCGTGCTCTCGTAGAGAGACTTGGATCATGGAAGATCTTTTCCAATCCAACTTTTATTTAATTTTGCATCAAGAAAGACAGTGAGGGGAGAGCTTTTTATGTTACTCGTCTCTCATTCAGATCTGGGCTGGAACAGAAACAGAGGAGGAACATCCACTGAACTGTAAGTGTTTTCCAGCTCTGGTTCACAGCTGTTACTAATGTATCTTTACATTACTGGATAGTTTAATAAACAAGGAAGTAAGAGTTGTCTGGTGAATTTGGTCCTATCAATTCAGAACATGATCCCTGGCTCTGACACTGGCCTCTTAGAGGGACAGATGTAATTACACGGTTCGTTTTCCCCATTTGCAAATTGAAATAACAGTGCTTTCCTTTGCCACAAGCCATGTTGGGATGCAGGGAGGAAG